TCAGTTAGTCAGTCAGTTTAACCCTTTAGTTGTATAAGTTTACAAATCACATTTCTTCATTTGTTCACTTTTCCAAGGTTGTTGTGCTTTGCTCACTGGGAGAATAGAAGAATTCCTTCTACCCTCAGTCTTGATGTCAGTTGTGCAGATAAACAGCAACGAACTAAGGTACTGTAAGAGTATTAGCATCAGTTGAGATACACTGTAATCCAGAAACTGCCGACAATTACCTTGCAAAGTTATGGTTAGAGCAACCTGAGAGATAATAATGTAAATGTTATTTTAAGGGGGCTCTGTCCTCCATTTACTTATATCCTGTATAGGAATGGGGCGGGGTGGGGGGGGTTCTTAATTTTTAGAGTAGTAGTAAGCAATCCCTCGATATCGAGTAGGATGTTGACTTGGTGATGTTCAGTTTATAATTTTCTAAGTGCCCCTAACCTGACAGCTAGTTCCTCTGTGCATCTGTAAGTAAGATTTTAAGTTTGTCAAATTCATGTGTATGAGGCTGACGATGACAACATCGATTTTGTGGAAATTGTATTTTCACCTTCCTTCTCGGTGTTTAGAAACGTTATGAAACACACTGGCTTGTGCTTTATGCTTTATGTTTTCTTGCTTGTCACCCATTTAATGTTTCAGATCCACAGGTTGCTGTCAAAACACTTTGGTTCATTTCTTGAGAGCAAAACCTTTAATAAGCAAGGCAGTGAAGTAGCAAGTGGTGGAGGAAGCTACATCCAGATAAGAATGCGAGCCAGGGGACCGAAGCAAATGCAGCAAAACAACAATAAAGGTGATTCAAGGTATGCGCAATGATCTGTCTGTCTGTCAGTCGACAATCAGCCAGCCAGCCAGGCAGGCAGGCAGAGACTAACCCACATGCCTAACCGACATGTAAAGTTATTGTACAGTTACTCCTTCAACAATGCTGATGAAGTTGAATGCACAGACTTACTTTTGTTGAATGGTTCTCTTTTCCAGACAGACAGAAACTGAGTACACAGGATTTGTATTATGTAAAAAAAATATGGTAAGAATTTGATGAATATTTGTTAAATATTATGGTATGAAGCATGAGGTTTGTTTGGCAGCCGAGATTTGTGTTGAAGTCACAGTCGCAGTTGTGTGGAAGTTGAGGCGTTCNCATTTAATGTTTCAGATCCACAGGTTGCTGTCAAAACACTTTGGTTCATTTCTTGAGAGCAAAACCTTTAGTAAGCAAGGCAGCGAAGCAGCAAGTGATGGAGGAAGCTACATCCAGATAAGAATGCGAGCCAGGGGACCAAAGCCACTGCGACAAAACAACAATGAAGGTGATTCCAGGTATGCGCACTAATCTGTCTGTCTGTCTGTCTGTCTGTCTGTCAGTCAACAGTCAGTCAGTCAGCTAGTGGGCCAGCCAGCCAACCAGCCAGTCAGCCAGTTAGTCAGTCAGTCAGTCAGTCATTTAGTCAGTCATTCAATCAATGCAATCAGTCAGTCAACCAGCCAGCTAGCCAGCCAGCCAGCCAGTCATTCAGTCAGTCAGTTAGTCAGTCAGTCAGTTATTCAGACAGACACAGACTAACCCACATGCCTAACCAACATGTAAAGTTATTGTACAGTTGCTTCTTCAATAATGCTGATGAAGTTGAGTGCACAGACTTATTTTGTTGAATGGTTCTCTTTTCCAGACAGACAGAAACTGAGTATACAGGATTTGTATTATGTAAAAGAAATATGGTAAGAATTTGATGAATATTTGTTAAATATTATGGTATGA